TTTGTTTTACAAGTGCCTGTAAAAACATTCAAACCTGTAAAAAAAATTTTTTGTGAGTTTATTTGAACCAAACTGATGACAATTGCCAGGAAGCAAAATCTGAAGGGATTGGGATATAATGCTCCAGAGAATGAGGGTTTTTTAAAATCTATTTTTATACATTGTAATCAAAGGAGGGGATGAAGGTAGGTTACAAGAAACCCATTGGTGATAGACTAGAGAGGCGGGGAGAAAGCAGTGTGTGGGGAGGGGGGTTGGGCTGGAGGCGATTGGTCACCACATAGAGGGCAAGTGCAGTCAGAGATGCACTCGGAATTAGATCCAAAGTAAACTGATAGACACTTACTTCGGTGGGTGCAGATAATAAGGAATTTGTGGAATCTGTCCTGAAGCCCAGGCACATTATTGTGCCCAGAGGGGTCCAGAAAAAGGGAAGTTACCAGCTACCTAGACATTTCAAGGGTGTGTTGATCCTAGATGCAAAAAGACAGATAGGCTCAGTTAAGGTAAAGGTTGACCTTGCAAGGGAAGATAACAGTCTAGGATGTAACTATCCACCAGAACTGCTTTTAGTTAAAGTTTAATATTAGAGCATCTTTTGTGGTTCCTTTAGGTCTCTGGCTTTGCAAGACCGCCATGCAGGCCTTCCTTCAGTTTGTCAGGTTAGCATGTGGCCCCTTTCGTCCACCGTCCACGGTAGGGGGGCAGGGGGAGGAATAAAAATCAAAGCTTCTAGAGATCATCTGTGAGCAGATAGTCCAAAGTCATCAGAAGGAAGAGGAAGCTGAAACAGAGAGAGCTGGCCCGGAGCTGCCTGAGACCCACCCACCCCTGCCTGGAAACTACCTAGGAGAAGTCCGGGACCTGCTACGGAGCTGCACTGGGGAAAGGAGGTGGAGGAGGAGGCTCTGAGGGACAGGTAAGGAGCCAGAGGGGGTCGTGGAGGTCTGGGTCACAGTGCCCTGGAGTCCTGAGCGCACAGTCCCGCTGAACAATGGCCAGGGAGGCAGGGCTCCAGGGATCATCTTTCAAGCTCAGCCATTTTTCAGTGGAGGGCAAGTCACTTCATCATTCTGAGCCTTGGCTTCTCCCTCTATCAAATGGCTATAAAATATCACACTATGGCCCAGCCAGCATGGCTCAGTAATTGAGCATCAACCTATGAACCAGGAGGTCATGGTTTGATTTCTGGTCAGGACACACGCTCTGGTTGCGGGCTCGATCCCCAGTGTGGGGTGTGCAGGAGGCAGCCGATCAGGGATTCTCTCTCATCAATGATTTTTGTTTGTTTGTTTGTTCATTTTTCTAAATATATTTTATTGATTATATTTTTTTACAGAGAGAAAGGGAGAGGGTTAGAGAGTTAGAAACATTGATGAGAGGGAAACATGATCAGCTGCCTCCTGCACACCCTCCACCGGGGATGTGCCCGAAACCAAGGTACATGCCCTTGACTGGAATCGAACCTGGGACCCCTCAGCCCGCAGGCCGACGCTCTATCCACTGAGCCAAACCGGTTTTGGCTCATCATTGATGTTTTAATCTCTCTCTCTCTCCCTCTCCCTTCCTCTTTGAAATAAATAAAAACATATTTTCAGAAAAATATTACACTATGTATTGAGCACTTGCCGTGCCTCGGTGGGCAAGTTATAGACATTGCCCCTTTCTCACAGCCGCTCTGTAAGGTGGGATTATTAGCCTACTTTACTAGGAAAGTAGGCTCAGAGAGGTTAAGCCATTAGTCCCAGACCTCAGAACAAAAAAGTCTGGTTCTAAAACCTGCACTTTCTCCTTCCTATCCTGCCTTCTTCACACTGGTGCTTTTAAAGACCCAAATGGCCTTACGCCAATGGGAAAAAACTGTAGCAGGCATTCTTACCATTAAATGTGAGTCACCATACTTAGGTGCTAGCAAGGAATGGGGCTCTTTGTAAGCTGAGAAGTGCTATAAAAATGCCCTCTCTTGAGGTTGAAAACTGTGGGGTGATGCTACAGACAAGTAATATTTGGCAAACTGACTTGGTCGTAGACAGAGGTGATGCCTCTAGGTCATGTTTAGGACTTGATGGAGCTGGGATGTCCTGACGTGGACGTGAGTGAGTGGTGGGTGGGCCCTCGGCCGGAGTCCTCCTGGAGAGGCCGTAGTCTGACCAGCTGACTGAAACGGCAGTGGATGTCTGAGGGCGCCACGGCAGAGAAGGGCTAGGATGTTCAGGGAACAGTGATCGTTACAGCTTGGCCACGGGACTTCAGAAGTAGAGGTCGGCTTTTTGGGGGAGAGTAATAGTACAAGTTTACTCTAGTAGAGCTGGGGTTTCCGGAAAAAGATTGTTTAACTAGAAACATACAGCCCTAGCCAGTTTGGCTCAGTAGATAGAGAATCAGCCTGCGGACTGAAGGGTCGTCCCAGGTTTCATTTCAGTCAAGAGAATCATTGATTGGCTGCCTTCTCCACGCTCCCTACTGGGGATGGAGCCCGCAACCAAGACATGTGCCCTTGACCTGTATCGAACCCAGGACCTTTCAGTTCCCAGGCTGACGCTCTACCCACTCTGCCAAACAGACGAGGGCCAGAGAGGGGTTTTTAAACGGTTTTTCCCTACTCAGCAGCTCACTTCTTCAACGTCTTCAAATAACCAGTAGGAGAAAAGCTCATTGTTTACTGTTTAAATGGGGAAGCAGGGCTAAGACTGCCTTCCTGACTCCCCTGTTATGTCTCCAGGGGGTGGGATGGCCAGCCTCGGTCTGAGACATTGGCCCGTAGCCAGGCCAGGCTGGCTGGATCCCCGCCACAGCCTCCTGAGCACAATCAGTGGTAAGGGGACCGGAGGGGACTCGCAGAGTCTGATGTCAGAGTTTTTAGGTTGGGTAAGCAGCTGAACTTCACAGCAACTGAAGGGCAGGGCAGGCAGCCTGTGTGCGAGGAGGTTCCAGCCATTTCAGAAGAGTGAGGACCCAGGAGGGAGGAAGCCCGGGAGGCTTTCGTACCCTCTCCACAATCTAGAACAAGGAAACTGCCACCCCGCCTTCCCAGGCAGGGATCCTAGGTCTTGAAGGCACTTGCCCACATACTTGGCTTCCAGGGTCGGTTGTTTGCCAAACCTTAGGGCAGTGGCCGGCAAACTCATTAGTCAACAGAGCCAAATATCAACAGTACGACGACTGACATTTCTCTTGAGAGCCAACTTTTTAAAACTTAAACTTCTTCCAACACCACTTCTTCAGAATAGACTCGCCCAGGCCGAGGTATTTTGTGGAAGAGCCACACTCCAGGGGCCAAAGAGCCGCAGGTGACTCACGAGCCGAGCTGCAGTTTGCCGACCACGGCCCTAGGGGAACTCTAGTCCCCTCCGCCCCACTCCACCTCCACCCGGGCAGCTCTCTGGCTTTCGATGCCGGCAGGTGTGCTCAAAAGGTTGCGCCCAGGCCACCTGGCAGGTCCAGGTGCCACGTGTGTGCTGCCATGGAGACGGGCCCTAGGGCTGGTGGGGAGAAGGCTCTCTCCAAGCTTTGTGGGTTCAGGAGAGGAGAGATTGGAGCCTCAGGCCCTTCAAGGTGGTTGCTGATCACTCTAGTGCCAACCGAAGCCCAGGTGGGTGCCCTGGGGGTTTTCCGGGACAAAGGGAGGGAGGAGGAGCCAGGGGAGGCCACGTATAGGGTGGAGGCTCTGCCAGGCTGATCTAGGGGCCTGTGTGGGGGAGCCCCCAAGCCGCCTTGGTCAAGGGGAAATAGAGCAGGCGTTGGCCTTGAACCCCAAGGGGGAGGAGGAATAGAGGCCTGGCATTTGTCCCCAGAGGAGGGCCAGGCTGCAGCAGGCAGGGCGCTGAGGCCGCAGGGAAGGATGTAGTGGCACAAACCGCTGGCTGACTGCGGCTCCCCGCCTCCCTGGAGTCCGAGAAGCCAAGGGCAATCACATGGAGCGTAAGGGGCACTTTTATCCATTTCCCAGGCTGGCGTGCAGTCTCCTCGGGTGGCAGCTCATTAACGATGGGGTGACTCGGGCCTTCGCCCCGATAGAAGGGACACTATGGAAGCACCAGACCTAGCTATAGGTTAGGACTGGGTGATCTGGAACAGATGGCTTCGTCTCTTTGAACCTAAGTTCTTTCATCTGTGAAATGTGGGTGATAATACCTTTTTTAAAATTTTATTTTTTACTTTAAAATTTTTATTTATTTTTCATTTTTTTATTAAGGTATTACATGTGTGCACATCTTACCAATTCTCCCTCACCCACTCTCATACATGCCCTCCCTCCCCAGAGTTTTGTGTCCATTGGTTATGCATGAATATAAGTCCTTCGGTTGATCTCTTATCTCCCCCAGATCTCCCTCTCCTCCCCGCTGTAATTTGACAGTCTGTTTGTTGCTTTACTGTCTCTGTATCTATCTTTTTGTTCATCAGTTCATAATGTTCTTTATTATCCATAAGTGAGTGAGGTCATGTGGTGTTTTCTTTCATTGACTGGCTTATTTCACTCAACATAATGTTCTCCGATAATACCTTTTAACAACCCACAGACCACTTCTACCCTAGGACAGTGGTCGGCAAACCCTGGCTCGTGAGCCACATGTGGCTCTTAGGCCCCTTGTGTGTTCTAACGCCACTTCTTCAAAATAGACTCGCCCAGGCCGAAAACCGACTTCTTCCCATGGGCCATGAGGTTTCAATCGCACTACCCGGTTTCCCCGAAAATAAGTCATTGTCTTATATTAATTTTTTCTCCCAAAGTTGCAGTAGGTCTTATTTTCAGGGGATGTCTTATCTTTCCATGTGCTAGGTTTTATTTTCAGAGGATGTCTTATTTTCGAGGAAACACGGTAAATGTGTGCGCCCGCACTCAAGGGGCCAAAGAGCAGCATGTGGCTCTCGAGCCGCCATTTGCCGACCACTGCCCTAGGACCACGCACAGGGGGGCAGAGCTTAAGGTGTGTTCCTTCTCTCCTTTTCTCTTCCTGCCCGGATGTCTCTTGCCAGGGCTCCTGGCATCTGCTCTGAGGATGGCTGAGCGGCAGGGCGGGGAGCCCGAGTGCCCTGTCTGCTGGAACCCCTTCAACAACACGTTCCACACCCCCAAAGTGCTGGACTGCTGCCACTCCTTCTGCGTGGAATGCCTGGCCCACCTCCGCCTGGTGACTCCAGCCCAGCACGGGCTGCTGTGCCCCATCTGCCGCCAGCCCACCGTGCTGGCCTCCGGGCGGCCTGTCACTGACTTGCCCACGGACACTGCCATGCTCACCCTGCTCTGCCTGGAGCCCCTCCATGTCATCCTGGAGGGCCACCAGCTCTGTCTCAAGGACCAGCCCGAGAGCCGCTGCTTCCTGCGCCAGCTCCAGGTCTGTACGCCGGACGTAGACACGGAGCCCGGAAGCCAGACCGAGGACCCCCAGGCCGTGGCCCCTGCCTCCACCACTCCTGGGTCCCATCGCATCCCCACCTTCCACACCCTGAGGCAGTGTTTGCAGGACCCCGAGCTCCCGATCGTTGCCTACCTGATGCTTTTCATCTTCGGTGCCGCTCTGTTGTCCTTATTCTTCATCTCTTGGGCCAAGAAGTTCCTTTGGTATGTGGGGTGAGCATCCGCTGTGGATGCGGGGCCTGCAGAGCCTCATGTCTTTGTCATATTGTTCATTTTTACAACCCACGGATCCGGCGGGCCACGTGTGTGCTTCTGGGAACAGAGTCCCACTATAATGAGAGCCTCTGAAAACGAACGAGTGGGAAAAGAGGCGAGGAGACCGCTGGGTGTGAAAGGGCAGAGAGGCAGATCTGTGATCACAGAGCTACAGAGCAGGTTGTGCCCAGGGCCAGGACAGCTGTCTCTGGGAGCTCAGCCAGCCCAAAGAGTAAGCTGCATCTCTCACTGGAGCTGCTTTGAACTCATCCATCTTTATTATTATTATTATTATTATTATTATTATTATTATATTGTTCTCTTTACCGTGTTGCTAAAAAAAACTAGGAAAATGAGCTTCAATTCTGTGAGCAAATGTGTCTCCTTTCAGTTTTCTCTTTTTCTTGCCCCCAGTCCCAGTAAAAAAATGGTCTGCATTCATTCATTTATTCACTTTTTTAGCTGATGCTATCCCAGTGGTTGGCAAACTGGGGCTCGTGAGCCGCCATTTGCTGCTCTGTTGACTAATGAGTTTGCGGACCACAGTGTAAGGCATTATTGCCCTTACCCAGAAGTTTTGACTTCAGGTTAAAGACATTAGGACATTATTAAAATGTTTAAGTGTTTTTCCCTAGCAGTGGTCGGCAAACTCATTAGTCAACAGAGCGGCAAACCACAGCTCTCAAGCAGCATGTGGCTCACGAGCTTCAGTTTGCCAACCACTGCTATCTGAACTAGAGAAAGAGAAAGGTAGGGCTTTTCCAAAAATCGTGACTTTTTAAAAACGCCGCAGGATGCGGGACAAATTGTTAAAAATTGGGACTGTTCCCGCAAAAAGCGTCTGGTCACCTTAGGCTATGCAGGGGTGGCAGAGAGCCTCTCCAGCAGGGAGGGTGTACTTTTACCTGCTTTTGGTGGAAGGAAACTCCTTCCACCCAAACTCGTGTGGGTATGTGGTTTATGGAACGATAAGAGTCTGAAAGTTTAAAGGTGAAAGCAGTTCAAAAGAAATCTGGGGTTTGGAGGAGAAAGTTTTTATTCCTCCTAGTATTATAGGTGCAAAGATCCTGATGAGAAGACTGGGTGCAGGATGGAGCTGACCCCCTCCATAAGCACTGAAATTCTGGCCTCAACAGGTAAGGCAGAAACCCTGGAGAGAGTGAAAGCCTTAGCTCCCATCCCCGGCTGTGAGGCAGGGCATCCTGGTTTTCCTTTTACATGACAGAATCTAGGAACCAAAGAAAACCAGGTAGAATTCATTTAGAGAACAGCACCCTAGTAAGGAAGTTAGGCTCAATAGTACCCACTTGCAGTCATTCTAGAGAACAGAATCCTAGTTAGTAAGTAGGCTCATTGGCGCCCTCTGTGGGCATTCTGAGAACAGCACCCTAGTTAGGAACTTGGCTCCATAGCACCCTCTTTGAGCAGTCTGATAATAGCATTCCTAATAAGAGATTAGGCTCAATAGTACCCTGTTGTGGTCAATTAGAGGACAGCAGCCTGGTAAGGAATTTTTGTACATTAAACAGTCCTGTTTCTATTTTTTTTTTTTAAGTTGGTTCTCTCATTGAGTGACTTCCCCTCCCCCCCCCAACCCTATCTTCTAATACTAATATACTGATCCAATCCTCAGCTTTTCCTAATCTGTATATCCTCCCAGTGTGTTCTTTTTTTTTTTTTTTAAACATTATTTTTTTTTTCATATTTTATTTATTTTGTACAGAGAGGAAGGGAGAGAGATAGAGAGTTAGAAACATCGATGAGAGAGAGTCATCGATCAGCTGCCTCTTGCACACCCCCTAGTGGGGATATGCCCGCAACCAAGGTACATGCCCTTGACCGGAATCGAACCCGGGACCTTTCAGTCCCCAAGCCGACGCTCTATCCATTGAGCCAAACCGGTCCCGGCTCCTCCCAGTGTGTTCTTTATCAGTGCTATATCAGCCTATATTTCGGACTGCATTCAGTATATCTTTTCTCATGATGTCGAGCATTTTTAACCATCATTCTAAACTCCATATTAGATAAGTTACTTATCTCCATTTAATTTATTTGTTCTTCTGGAGAATTCTTTTGTTCTTTAATCGAGGGTGTTTTTTTGTTTTGTTTTTTGCCCATTTGGCTGCCTGTTTGGGTTTGTGGCTATGTGTTAGGTAGATCTTCTATGCCTTTCAATCTCTACAGGACAGTGTCAAACACTGTTTCTGACTAATGAGATCAGGCAAATAAGACCGGTCTCTGTCTATAGACTGATTGAATTAACTCTTAAGGAGCCCGCGGACAGTCATCCTCAGGTGTGGTGAGGTTGTCCAATAGGGTGGGGCAATTGTTTCTGCCTGGAGGCTAATTGCCATTCTCAGTCATTTAATAGGCTTCAGAAACTCCACACTGTGGGGGCAAGATGTTTTCCAATAGGACGGAACAACTGTCTCCCCTCCACCCCCCAGAAAAAACTGCCTGCAGAGCAAAGGTCTACCTAAGACGGCAGTGTGAGGGAATGACTCAGCACAGGAAACCTTCTGAGCACTAACTTTAGGATGATTTTTTTGTAATTCAGTTGAAATTCCAGTTTGGTCCTGGCACCTTGTCTGTAGCATCCACTTGCTCTGTGGCCATTTTTAATCTCCCTTCTTTTTGACATTTTGAGAACAGCATGCTGGTAAGGATTATGCTCATTTGCACCAGGGCTGCTGCTTGACTACACATTGCCACTTCCGCAGTGTCTAAAACCTGATTTCTGCATCCCAGTTTTTGTATTGCCTGGTGGCCCAGAGCTCTAAAACAACTTCAAAGTGGTTAAAACACCATCACAATTATGAAAATAGAACATTTTAACTTTTTTTTTTGGTAAATAAGCTTTCAGATGCCTGAAATTGAGTTGGTTTGAGTTTAACATTTTTTTAGTTTAATGGAATTAGCTTCTACAAATTCTTGAGGTCTTAATATACAAGATATTACAGAATAGCCAAGACATATATTTCACATTTAATAAAACCAAAATCTTAAGATGTGAAGAAAAAGTGGGGGAAAAAATTCATTACAAAATTGTAAAGTCACCAATGTATCCCGCCAGGGGACTAGTACCTACCTCTCCATTTGTGCCATCAAAGATGATTACACCGAGGCTGGGACGCAAGCTCTCCCCACTGCCTTCACTTCTTTTTTAAAAAAAATATATTTTATTGATTTTTTTACAGAAAGGGAGAGGGATAGAGAGCCAGAAACATCGATGAGAGAGATGTTCTTTTTTTTTTTTTTTTTTTTTAATATATTTTATTGATTTTTCACAGAGAAGAAGAGAGAGGGATAGAGAGAGAGATAGAGAGAATCATCGATCAGCTGCCTCTTGCACACCCCCTACTGGGGATGTGCCCACAACCAAGGTACATGCCCTTGACCGGAATCGAACCCAGGACCTTTCAGTCTGCAGGCTGACGCTCTATCCATTGAGCCAAACCGGTTTCAGCTGCCTTCACTTTTTTTCCTCTTTTTTTTTAAATCTAATTTTTTATTTACTTTTTAAAATATATTTTATTGATTTTGTACAGAGAAGGGAGAGAGATAATTAGAAACATCGATGAGAGTCATCGATCAGCTGCCTCTTGCACACCCCCTACTGGGGATATGCCTGCAACCAAGGTATATGCCCTTGACCGGAATCGAACCCGGGACCTTTCAGTCCCCAAGCCAACGCTGTATCCACTGAGCCAAACCGGTTTCGGCTGCCTTCACTCCTTGACACCTCCTTGCTCCTTAACCTTGTGGCAGTGAGCTCAGCATCTTCTCAGAGCCAAGAGGAACAGGGGAGGAGATGGGGAAGTCCAGGAAGGAACACTTGCCTCTGCATTACAGCCTATTGCTCTAAAGTAAACTTCATCCCCACTCACAGGCCAAACTGAGGCTCCATGTTTAGCTACTTTGTTCAAGGTCACCCAGCCAGTAAGTTGTGGAGGACTTTCAGTTAAAATAAGAATTATACTCTTGAAGTGGCTTATAGGCCATCCAAGTAATACATTGGTTTACATTTTTTTGGGAGATAGGGAAACATTAGTGTCTTCTATTCCTACACTTAGTAGTTCTAACCTTGAGGCAATGCCATCCAATAGGGGGCCTCTGGAAATTTCCGGGACTATCTGATATACCAATGAAATGAGGGGTTGTGCTTCTGATTTTTAGTACTCTAGAGGTCAGACATGCTACAATGCTACAGATAGTTCTGCTCAACAAAATATTACCTATCTTAACATGCAAAGTTTCCTGTTGGATAACACTAGAGGCTCCTCATAGGTTCAGGAGGTAGAAGTGGTGAAAGTATTACTCCCTTTGGCATGAAGTCGGAGGAAGAGACAGTGACTTGTCCAAAGGCAGTATAAAAGGTGGAATGGTTAAAGCTGTGCACAAGCCATGCTGGCTGGACTGGTCTTTGGCCAGTGTTGCCAACAGTCAATACAACCCTATGAAGTCTCTTCATAAGGTCCTACAGACTCAGATCAGGATCCAACACTAAATGGGTAACCTTGAGCAAGTCACTTAACTTCTTTGAGCTTAGTTTTGTTTGTAAAAAGAAAACTCCTAAGATTCTGAGGATTAAATGAGATGTTGGAATGTGCCTGGCGCAATGTCTAGCCAGAGAGTATCTTGTTAAGTGGTGGCTATATTTATCTCACCATTATCACAAAATGCCACACTGGGTTTATGTTCCTCAGCTCACCCCTTTCTTACATTTCCAGTGAAGAAATGTATATTCCACAAGACACTTGTTTTGCCAAAGACTTAGATAAAATGTTTCACTCAGTTGCTGCCTCTAAATCCCTTGGTCTCCCCAATCCCAAAGTCAAGGTTAATGGAATAGAATTTAAACTTGAAAAACTCAAAATTTTAACATTATGTCCAAACTACATGCTAATACACTAATGTTCATTATTAGTTTACACATACTACAAAGATAGTATTGAAAATAATTTTTTTTATGGCCAACTATGGAGGAAATAGTGTCCCTACTTAAACCATAGTGCAGTACCCAACAGAGAGCAGGGTTGAGAAGTCAGAAGCTTAACAAGTAAGTACACAGGACATGCAACATTTGATTATAACTGAAACCAGATTAAACACAATATTTAGCTACATATCACACAATCACAGCTTGAAGAATAGAGTTGGACAAGCTACACTCAGCCACTCTGGAATAGCAAGTAAAGTGTGTTCAACACTTCAAGGAGAAGCCATCATACAAGCCCTCCTTGAATGCTGTATATACAATTTTCTAAATTCCTATATTTTTGAATGAATTTACTGTGTACTTTCAGAGTTCAGTGACTGTATATTTGGGGTGAAAAAAGGTGAAGACAATAGCTTGCTAGCCAATGAGTAAGAGTCAGAGTCCAGATACTATATAGTTCACTGGTAGTTTGGCGCACAATGCAATAGCCCTCTATTTTTTTTTTTTTAAATGATTAACAGAGTGCTTACTAAAGGGACAGAAATTGGAGTAATCATATTTGAGATCACATGTTGTATCTCAAATCAAAAAAGAGGGACTTTGATGGACCAAAGGCTGAGATTCAGAAAAGACTTAACTATGCAAAATAATTATTTGAAGTATAGTTTTTATAATAGGATTTTACTCTAACAAATATGTAATAAAGAAAAAAAGTCAAAGTTGATGTTTAGTAATACCCTTTTGGGATTTTTTCCAGAGTTACCTTTACATGAAGGGTATATCCTTTAAATAACCAATAAAAAGGAGTTTGCACAATAGAGACATCATGTTAGCTTTCTAAACATTTCATTGAATCTTGACACAAAGGTCTGGCTTTGGGGTAACATGAAGGATGCCAAACATCAAAGAAAAATAGAAGACATTTTCCAACAAGGCAAATGTTCAGTTCTGAGCTTCCTGAAGCTCCCTGAGGCAGGTACTATTCCAAGTGAAATCAAAGGAAGAGGTAAAATCTTCTGTACTGTGTAACTAAGCATCGCTGTGGGGCGACCTCTTCACCTCCCATTTTCAGGGCAGAGGAAAGGTTCTCGCTGTCAGGCGTTATTTAGCCAGTATGTGGTGAGATGTGCCTCTACCCGAGGGCTCCCAGACTGCAGTCCAGCCACCTTGCTCCCTGGGTCACATGTAGTCCTGAAGCATGTACCATGTAATAGGAAGCCAACTTTCAAGAATTAAAAATGGAGCTAGCCACAATCCCGAGTGCTATGAGGAAGGCAACAGGGTATTCAAACAAAAGATTAATAAAAACTATTGTCTACATAGTTACTGGCAGGGCTTGAAGATGATATTAAAATTCAAGCATGAAAGGGGTTGACCAGCACCCAGGAACTGGGCTGTCTGCTTGAAGTGGGTGCCAACATAGAAATCCAATCTACTGAGGGTCTATACATGGAAATTGGCAACAAACATGATGGAACAAAATGGCTCCTAAGGGAGAGCTTGAGGTTGGTGTCCTTTTTCTGTGGTGTCTATTCAGCCATCCAGAGCTTGAAGGTCCTGTCATAAGAGCAAGTGGCTATAAGCTGCCCATCAGAAGAAATGTCTAGGCCCATCACTTTGCCTTCATGGCCAGCCAAAGTCTTCAGTGGGGACCAGCCTGGATGGGTCCAGATCTTGGCTGTGTTATCATAGGCACCAGTGAGCAAGAAATTCCCGTGGATAGCTACAAGAGAAAAAAAGGGGAGTTGCTTAGATTCGAATGTACGTATTCAAAAGAGCTTTAGAAAAGCACAAAAATCTTCTAGAATATACTATTTCAAAAAAGAAGGTTATTTCTACATTCAGAAAAACCCAACACTGATCTATATTCCTACCAGGTCTCCAGGAAAAAGCCACAACTACAGGGAAAGTTAGGGAAATAACATTAAGGATTTTTGGCTCTTTCAACAACCTGTTCAGAATAATATTAAGGATTTGGTGCTTAGGATTTCCATGGAGAAAAAGATACAGCAAAGCACTCATGAAGTCTTTTACTTCCTAGTAATAAGCATGCTGTGCCATAGTTCTGTCTGAAAGTAGAGGGGAGGAAATTATAACTTGCTTCTTCAACAGAGTCCAAATTCTCTCCTGTTCCACCTCCAAGCTAAGCTACAGCCTGGCCTCCATTCCATGAAAGTGCATCTCATTATTCTAAAACAGAAGGAAAGCTTACGCTCAAACTTGACACCGGTCACTAAGTTCTGATGGGCAGGGATGGTATAGATGCAGCGCCGCTGTCGAAGGTCCCATACTTTGCAGGTGTTGTCACCACTGCCAGTTGCAACGTGGTAACTGTGGATCAGATGCAGTATCAAAGTTAGAAACAAGGAGTACTTCCTGACCAAGAACCCTCTGCACCCCATCATTCAATGAGCTTATTTTACCCATTGGGGGAGAAATTTATTCCATAGATTTCCTTCAGGTGCCCTTCTAGGAACATGATACAACGTCCTGTACGCAGGTCCCAAACTCGACCAAATGCATCCAGTCCCCTGATAAAATAATTTACAAATGAACATTGTGAATCCAGTTCTCAGGGGAAGCAGCTATACATACGAGATGAGACTGCTGAGCTGCCCCTGCCCCTGTGGAAAAAGCCTTACCCAGTGCCAGCCAAAGAGCCATCTTGATGGAAGGCAATGTCATACACACCCATGCTGTGGCCTTCCTGATGCAGGATCTCCTCTTGAGCTTCCAAATCCCATAAGCGCCATGAGCGGTCATAGCTAAAAAAACAACACACAAATATTTAGCCAGCATATATTTTTTCTACAATGTGCAAGGTATTATTATTAGTTATAGCTTCAGTTATGCTTCTGCAACTACTTATAAAACAAACTATTTTCTGATATAAGCAATCTATAATAATAAAAACACAATATGCTAATTAGACCAGACATCCTTCCAGATGTCCTTCCTTCTGGACAAAGCCGCGGAGGACGGGCACAGGCAGAGGTGGCAGAGATCCCTGGCCATGGCTGAGTGTGGGGACTGAGACAGAGGTGGGTGCTGCAGTGGCAGGGGCCAAAGCCCTTGTGCAAATTTCGTGCACTGGGCCTCTAGTGGCTTAATAACTAAGCATATCTGTCTTATTTTGACTTTCAATAAACCTTTTTCAGTGGCTATTTTAAGAACAGAATTCCCTAAGAATGGCTCAGCAAAGATTCTGTTGCCTTCTTCCCCAATTCCACTTTTATGTTCTTTCATTTATCAAGTGTTGATATATTTACTGTGCCCTAAATTCATGTTGGGGATAAAAAAATCAGTCATAGACAAATCAATGGAGTAGAAAAGAAAGAAAAGAAATAGACCCACTCATACATGGTCAAATGATTTTCAATAGGAGTGTCAAGGAAAGGAAAATCTCTCCAATAAATAGTGGTAGAACTGTTTATGTACATGGAAATAAAGACAGAAAAAAAGTCATACATTTTAAAAAAGGAATAAAGCACCTGAAAACTACACTAAGGAGAATATACAAATGGTAGTAAGCACATAACAAATAGTCATTAAAGTAAAAAAAATGAAAACCATGAGGTTTTACTATACATTTGCTATTTTGGGCATAACGACAAGACTGACAAAACCAACTGCTAACAAGGAGGCGAAGCAATCAGAATTCTGGGAACATAAAATGGTGCAACCATTTTAGAAAACCCCTTGGAAGTTTTTCAAAAGTTAAATACACATGTACCCCATGAGCTAGCATTTGCATTTGTAGGTATTTATTTAAGAAAAAGAAAAGAAAAGCATGTCTACAAAAAGTCTTGTCCAAAGATGTTTATGGCAGCTTTATTCTGACTAGCCAAAACCTGGAAACAGCCCAACTGTCCATCAACAGGAAAATGGATAAATAAGCTGTGCCTCAATAATACAACTGATTACTCAGCAAGAAAAAGGAACTGCTCCTACATACAAACAATGTGTACCAGTCTTCATTAAACTTACAGAACTGGAAAGGAAAACCAATTTGTAAGCAGAGAGGTTATAATGCCCCCCCTCCCCCCCAAAAAAATAACACCCCAAAACAACAAACACAAAGAAAATAAAACACACACATCTCTAATGTTGGTCAAGAAAGAGTGAAAATTTTAGTTTTCTGGACAACTAGTGACTTGAAAATTTACTTCCTGGCAACAAGAAGTACGCTGCAATATAAGAGCAAATACACTTAACCTCTAACTACATAATATATTCTATTCTGATTCACTGACATCCAATAAAATCCTTGAAGATCTCTGTTTTAAAATGTACTTGGCAGTTAACCATAAAGGATTAATAAGATGTCATAAGCCCATCTATATATATAAAAGCCTAAGTGACAGTCCGGTATCTATGATGCACACTGACCACCAGGGGGCAGATGCTCAATGCAGGAGCAGAAACCACAGGCATAGAAACATGGAACAGACTGATGAATCTCAGACGGAAATGAGGGAGAGAAGAGATTAACCATCTTATATGCATACTAGAGGGATGCACAGATTTGTGCACCGGTGGGATCCCTCAGCCTGGCCTGCAGGGATCAGGTAGAAACTGGCTCTCTGACATCCCCCGAGGGGTCTCAGATTGCAAGAGGGTGCAGGCCAGGCCGTTAGTACAGATAGAACAATAGGATAGGAAGGCTTACCAGGTGGTACCCAAGAAACGTCCTGATGGATGCCACATTACACGGGCCACACGTACTGTATGGCCTTCAATATCTGCTACTGGTTCATCACTGAAAAGAAATCAAATACATGTGAGTAAACTCTTCAATATGCATGTAAATAAATATTCATTGAATTTATTAAGAGTTGCATACAGATACTCCAACTTTGTATAATTTGAGAAACCAAATTGTAAACACACTTGTAATTTGTTAAAACTTTAGGTCTAACAAGAATTTGTCACTTCTTAAGGTTTTAAAAGATTTTGGACTTCACCTACCACAGGGAAAAACTGCCTAAACCATTAAGAAACACTCCTTCTACCTGAATTCACTACGTTGTTAAACTCTGAAGGCTATACCTCTTAGAATTAAAGAAAATAAAAGATAAGCAAAATAGTTTCTCTGCACCAAGGTAAAACTGAGATTTTAGGAAGAAAACATGTACATGCCTTTGATCGGAATCGAACCTGGGACCTTTCAGTCCCAGGCCGACACTCTATCCACTGAGCCAAACCGGTTTTGGCAAGAAAACATACTTTAATAGAGATGTGAGGCTACAAAAATCAAGCAGTTTTGGTGCAAGTGAAATACATACAAATCTCAAACTTCAGCTTGTTCAAGGATCCACAGAGAAAAAGGAATTCCTAAATACATAGAGGCTTAGTTTCCTTTGGGTGGCCCTTAAATTTTATTACCCAGTAACTACAGAAGGAAGATCTGAGACACTAGTGAAGAAAATAATCAGGAACCCTAAGAGGACAATTAAAAAGAGAACTTTGTCAGTGTGCATACATAGAAGCAATCCAATTCCTAGGGGAACAGATATTGCTGAGCATTACCAAAGCCAATTAAAACCAGCTGTGCTCATACGTAAGAGCCTGTCTGGTAAGAAGGGGGGACAGTAATTAACTCTTTACAAAAGCCTTATGTACTTTCCCAAGGAAAGAAAACTAAGAAATTAGATTCAGATGTCTTTTGGCTAACAACATGCTCCCAAAATTTCCTTGAAAAACAATATTCATAAACACATTTAAAACAACTGTTATAACTGGAAAATACGGTCTAGGTGAAGGAAGACATCACTTTCTTAGCAATACTGCCAGACAGAACCTCACTTCCCCTCCCCGGTGGCTGTTTGCTAAGAACCAACATGCTGTCAGAATGTTATCTTTAGTCAATCTACCAAATACTGCATTTCTTCAGTATCAATATATTGCATAGGAGGTAAAATGATCTTTCCAGAGTAATGGAGCCAGGAAAAAGTGGCCACTATGTTAGAGGCATAAATCAAGTTCTATAGTTGACAAGAAAAAGCCTGACACAACTCTGATGAGAAAAGGAGCAAGAAAAATACTCTATTTTTAAAAAAATGTATTTTTTATTTCAGAGAGGAAGGGAGAGGAAAAGATAGAAACATCAATGATGAGAAAGAATCACTGATAAGCTGCTTCCTGCATGCTCACAATGAGGACTGAGCATGCAGCCCAGGCATGTGCCCTGACCGAGAATTGAACCGTGACTTCCTGGTTCATATGTCAATGCTCAACCATTAAGCCACACTAGCTGGGCTCTATTCTATTTTCATAATAAGTTTCCTTGATTCTTAGAGTACTCTGGGGTTAAATGTCAGATGTTCGGGTCCTAAGAGTCATCCAATCAACTATTTATTTCAGTGATTTCAGTATAGAGAAAACAGTAATAGTCACCTGTCAAGGCTCCAAAGTTTCACAGAACCATCAGCAGCACAAGAGGCCAAATTGACATCTTTTTGGTCCAAGGAAACAGTGGATTTTGGATGGAATACAATTGCTCCTACATTTGTGTTATGGCCTGAAGGAGGGTAAGAGATGAAAGTTAAAGGGTTCCTTCCCCGTTATGTGCAAATACAGACTATGATAAAAAATATAGGTATACTATATTAGGGAAATAAAGACATATAGAGTATTAAAGTATTCAACTACTTAAAAATAAATTATTTCAATTTAAACTAATATTTAAAGCACATTAATAGGAGTAAAACACAAAAAAGACTTAAGAATGTGAAAAACACATTCTAACTCACCTCGAAGAGTGTGAAGGAGGTTGCAATCAGGAACAGACCAGAGCTTGCAAAGCCCACTCCTATCAAATACAAAGGAAAGCATCTCAGCCAGGGTTGGTCTGGGAAGGAAAAGGTACCTTGGTAACATCACAATCTCTTTTCACCCCCAATAAGCTTTACAGTGGCAGACAGAAAAAGAATGAAAGTCTTTTTATTTGAAGTGTTATAGAAGAAAGCTACATTTAGCTCTCATGCAACTAGAAGCCTCTACTGGTCTATAATTAATACATATAAGTTGTGATTCTTAACTTTTGGGTCAATTTGTGAGGGAAGGTAGGACAAATTAAATTATCCAATAATAATAATAGCATTAATAATGACCCTATCTCCTTAAATATGAATGGCATTTTGCTGCTTACAAATACGTAACTTTTTTTAGACCTCTTAAACATTTTTTTTGAAAAGACTTTTCAGGAAATTTCCCACCGTTATTTTTATTTCTATCATCTCAAATGATCCTTATTAACAGACCTGTGAGGTATGTAAAATAGGAATGATAACTTCTGCTTTATAATGGAGGTGACTGAGGCTTGGAGAGTTGGAGGTATCTGTGTAGGTCCTCGGCTTTCTCCTGAACCACGGTCTCAACTGCTGCCTAGGCAGGTAGTTCCTGTGCATACAATGTAAGGGAGTTTCCCCTCATATCTAGTGGGCCATGTCCCACAAAAATAACTCAACAGAACAAAACAAGTTATTACATCCCAAAGATTTTATGCAAATATGGTAGTAAGTAGAAAATAAAATAAAGATAGCTCACCCCATGACATGCTCCAAAATACTAGTGTCAACAACATACGGCTACATGTCATGATCTCTGGGTCCCTTGTGAACACTAAAAACTGTTCACAAAGACTTTACTGTGTAACAAACAGGTAGAGCAGTAGCATCTCTAGTCTGGTGTGATCACGAGAAGCAGAGCAATAGGGTAACACAGAAATAGACATCTAAGACATGCTAACTTTTTCCCTGAACCTGTTCCTTATTTAGGAAAAAAAAAAGTCACTGTAAAACTTAACTTACCAACAAGCTGTAGCCAGCATTTTGGAATTGGGACTAAAGTGACAGTAGGAGATAGGCCGATCATCCCCAATCTGACTGCAGAAATTATTCAAAGACTTAAAAACAAACAAACAAAAAAAACATACAATGATCATTAATTAATAGACTAACCCAGGAGTTGGCTTTTCCACTATAACAAAGCAACTTCACAGTTTTAATATAACTCCAGACTTTTTTTATACTACTTTTTTTTTGGTTAAGAGATACTTATATGGATGAATGAGTGAGTCAATGCATATCTCAGACTGCAGCACATCGTCTTCTAAATCTTTTATTTATTTATTTTTACTCACTTTGTCTTTTTTTTTTTTTTTAATATATTTTATTGATTTTTCACAGAGAGGAAGGGAGAGAGGCAGAGAGCCAGAAATGTCGATGAGAGAGAAACACCGACCAGCTGCCTCCTGCACACCCGCAATCAATGACATGCCCCCGACCAGAATCGAACCCGGGACCCCCCAATCCGCAGACCGACGGAGCCAAACCAGTTCCGGCGGTCTTCTATATCTTAATATCACTAGCCCTACTGTCAGCTAAATATAAAGAAGAAAACCATGGAAAGATCTACAGTACAGTTTTGACATCCTATAGGGAAGAATTCAAGAGCAGAATCACAGGCCTCTGCTAAGTACAAAGTACGGTAGGTTCCTGCCATCTAAACAGATGGCAACAGTGTTAGCAGGGAAGAATAAATTCAGCTGCCTTTACCCTCTTAGAGGTGGGTCAAAAGGGAAAATCTAATAAAAATTTAAGAAGCTTTAAGATATTGAACAATTGCTGACAGCATCGTACCCGGAGAGATTTGTGCAGCTCTTGCACCTGGGAGGTCCTAGTTGTTTCAGGAATCTCTTTATGGAGACGGGCCTCTTCCAAGCGTTTCATTGCCCTGTGATATAAACAACATCACCATCAAGAGAGTAAATGCGTTTCACACAAGGGGTTTACACAAGTATCTTACACTCAATTTCATTTAACAACCAGTCATTCTAAAGCAGGTCCTCCGTCCCTGAGAGGAAACAAGAATCATCTTCTTGCTGAAACGGGTTTGGCTCAGTGGTAGAGCGTCGGTCTGCGGACTGAAGGGTCCCAGGTTCGATTCCGGTCAAGGGCATGTACATTGGTTGCGGGCACATTCCCGGTGTGGGGTGTGCAGGAGGCAGCTGGTCGATGTTTCTCTCTCATCGATGTTTCTAGCTCTCTATCCCTCTCTCCTCCTCTCTGTAAAAAATCAATAAAATATATTAAGAAAAAAAAAAAAAAAAAAGAATCATCTTCTTCCTCCTTCTAGAGCAGTGGTTTTCAACCTGTGGGTCACGACCCCTTTGGGGTTTGAACGACCCTTTCAGGGGTCACCTAAGACATTCTGCATATCAGGTATTTACATTATGATTAACAGTAGCAAAATTACAGTTATGAAGTAGCAACGAAAATAATTTTATGGTTGGGGGTCACCACAACATGAGGAGCTGTATTAAAGGGTCAGGCATTAGGAAGGATGAGAACCACTGCTCTGGAGGCTCTCCTCACCTGGGCAGTGAATAATTAGCAATCCATAGTCTAGCAACCTTCAGGGTGTGTGGTCCTTCATGGTACCAGGTTTGCTGATACTGGAAGTTAAATTAAGAAAAGAAATATTAAGTCTGAGCATTCCTGCCCCACTGTAGCTGTCAATTCCCTATTTTAACTGCCCAGAATAAAGGTGACTTAGTTCAGTAATAGGATGAAATCAGACATGTGCTTTCTACTGTTTCTTTCTGTGAGGACTTGTTAGATGGCTTCTGGTTCCCTGTTAAAAGTTACACCAGGAATGCTATAGTTCTTTCCTGAATGGGAAACTCGCTGATTTCCATTTTATCTACACAGAAACCATAAATTATTGCCAACAACTATCCTGAACGGTAGAGTCTTCAACCCTCCTACCCCCAATTTTAGCAAAGCAAACTACTGAAAACATAAAATGAGAAAACTCTCCCCTCATCTCCTTCATGTTTACATTACAAAGGTAAAGACATATTTTACCTCTTCTTTGGACTTCTTAGATTTCTCATCATCTTTTTTAGTTTTTTTTAAGGCATCGGTACCGACCACTGAGAGGATATTTCTTAACCTGTAACAAGAGATTGAAATTTAAACAGAACCGAGATAAAAATTTGAAAAAGTATTATATCTAAGAAGGGAGTAAGCTTCCTCTATTCTTTCACCATTCAAACTCCAAGCAACCTGCTTTGAGATTCAAGAGGTCATGCCTACATTTCTAGTGTGGTTTCCTTCACTCAATCTTCAAAATACCCTAAGATGAACCATAAGTAATTACCCTAGTCAATTTGGAGTTAACTAGCTCCACCACAGTTACCACTTGGTCTGTGCAAACAGCCAACCTTCATTCAATGTCACATGTGCCAGATACTAAGGTGCTAAATATATAACAAAGACAGAAGTTTGTTATTTCAATTAGCACAGTCTTGGGGGTGAAGTGGGAGGAGGACAAAGTAACAGGAACTATAGAACACTATTAATTATTTTTATTTATTTTTTTGTTTGTTTCAAATCGTGATTTTTTAAAAATATATTTTATTGATTTTTTACAGAGAGTAGGAAGGGAGAGAGATAAAGAGCTAGAACCGTCAATGAGAGAGAAACAGCGACCAGCTGCCTCTTGGACACCCTCTACTAGGGATGTACCTGCAACCAAGGTACATGCCCTTGACCGGAATCGAACCTGAGACCTTTCAGTCCGAAGACCGACGCTCCACCACTGAAGGGTCCCAGGTTCGATTCTGGTCAAGGGCATGTACCTTGGTTGCGGGTACATCCCCAGTAGGGGGTGTGCAGGAGGCAGCTGGTCGATGTTTCTCTCTCATCGATGTTTCTAGCTCTCTATCCCTCTCCCTTCCTCTTTGTAAAAAATCAATAAAATATAGTTAAAAAAAACCAACAATAACTGAGACATTCTATTAAAGTTTTTGCTATAAATAACAACTGAAATTTGGAACTACCGTAGAACCCTGTGGTTGAAAGAGAAAAAAATAATTAGAAAGGGCACCTTTCTCTTCTTTCAGCAGGACCCTCTCCAAACAGCGTGATAGGCTCCCCCAAGGCTCTAAGGCAAGCCTTGACCTCTGAGTCGTCTGTGGAAACGTTGATTTGCCGGGCTCGCTTCCTTCTCTCAAACTCGGCTAACACTTCGGCCTGTCGCTCACTTATGTGCTCTTCAATTTCAAACACTTCCCCTATAAAAAGAACAGGCAATATCAGCATAATCATCAGATTTTCTTCAAATAGGGAAAATGTCCCAGATTAGAGAGGGTGCATTGTTTTAGACAGCACTGGGCTGTAGTTTTACATTCTTAGAAAGATATAGACTCAATTAATAAGGATTAAAGATCTTTCCACTTCACACATTTCCACAATTTAACATTACAAATTAATTTTTAAAATATAATGGACCACTAGTTACTGACATAGAAAGGCATCAGTTTAAAACCAGAAAAATGTTGACACTAAAAAACAAGTGGTATCTAAGTTTAAGAAAGCATTCACTGCAGAAAATTGGAGCACTAAAAGTTAGAGGGACTCACAATTTGCATCTTACCAGAAGTTATGTTAATATTTCCTGCTTCAATTCCTGCTTTAAGTCCTTCTTTTCCCAGAATCCCAGATTCTCCTTTGGCCAGACGCTCCCTCTCCTTCTCTTCCAAACTTCCATAATAGATGTGTGGTTTCTTCACGACAGGCGCGACTAAGTCATCAGGTGCCTTAGTTTTGGTTGCCTGCTAAATCAAAGGCCCAGGTTAATTTAAGGCTTAATCTTAGCCACTTATTAGGCTTCCCTAAAGAATAAAGCTCATCCTGAGTTGTATTTCCTCCCTAAAGGAAAGAACACGGAGGCCACTTCGGTAGACGTCTGCCTGCCAAAGGGTCTGGAGTTCGATTCCCCGTCAAGGGCCCATTCCTGGGTGGCAGATTAAATTCTGGTCTTAGTCAGGCGAGTGCGGAAGACAACCAGATGTCTCTCTCTCACACTGATGTTTCTCTCTCTCTCGCTCCCTCCCGTACACTCTTTCTAAAAATGAATGGGGAAACACGTCCTTGGGTGAGTTAAAAAAAAAAAAAAATGTGTCCACTGATGGGGAGGGAGGAGGAGCTGTTCAGCATCTCAGGCAGGAAGAGGTGGATAAAACTACCAAATGTCTCTTGGCGATTTTCCTATCCAAGGTTTGCTTTGGGACATGCTTAATTCATCTGGTTGGAGTGCAATCTCTTCTTGGGTTTTAGGAACCTCCCAGGGCTATTGCTCATCGCAGGGGCAATATAAAGGGAGACTGAAATAACCAACCCGATGTCAAGGGGGAATGTTCTTAGACGAGAGGCAGCACAGAGGACGGTAGGAGGCCTCATTACAGTGAAGAAGTCTGACACAGAAGGAAGTCTTGGCCAGGACGCTCTCCCTCCCAGAGCTCCGCCTGTGGACCGGTCGGAAGACGTATTTACCGTTCGCGGCGGAACAAGAGGTGCCCATGAGCTTAAAAGCACATGAAAGCGCTTAGGCATCAGGGAAATCAAGCCCCGATCTGAGACCAGACCGAGCCTCGCAGCCTTCCTCCTCAGTCCGCCACTGACTGAGCCCGATCCCTACAGGCCCCATCCCGCGGGGACCCCCAGACCCCTCGGCCTCCCTGCCAGGGTGAGCTGAGACCTGTACCGTGGAGGAAGCTCGTGTGGAAGCCATGCCGGGCTCCGGAGCCGCCAAACCCCAGCGAAAGCCGGGCTCCGCTTTCCAGACAATCCACCGCGCGCCCGGCGGAGCGGAAGTGCGTCACCGACCGGAAGTGGGCCGAGAGCGACGCAGCGTCGGGGCCGGCGTGGAGCACGATGGGAGTCGTAGTGGGGAAGGAGGAGGGATTGCGGGCGCGTCCCGAGGTGGGAGCCGTGGAGCGTCCGAGAAATGTGCGCGGAGGTCGAGGTTCTGCGAGGACAGGCTCTGGCTCAGGGCGGTGTGGGGCGTGCAGCCCGGGCGGCTTAGCGGAAGGCTTGGCGGGCGCCGAGGCTCCGGGAAGGGGCCGAGCAGGCCTGAGAGGAGGTAGGCGCGTCGAGTCGCGCGGCTTCGGGCTGAACTCCAGAGCGAATCGAGGGCTTCCGGGGGGGCCGTTCCTCTTGGCTCTGCCAGCGGCTTTACGTGGTCCTGGATCGGGGACCAGGTTGCCATGGAAACCCTTGCCCAGGACGGATGGGTGAGGGCTGCCTCGGACCTGCCCTCAGGCGAGCCTTTCTTGGTGTCCGCAGTTCTCTCCCAGGGGCTCCCTTTGAGCTGGTGAATTTGGGCCGCGGCGAGAGGTTTAAACTCGAAAAGCCCTCTAGCGCCAGAGTAAAAGACTGAAAACCCGGTGGAGGAGCCACGGCCTACTTTCCTTGTCTTCAGCCCGGTCTTGGTCCTCAGGTTCAGAGTGAGATGATGGGCGTGAGGCGTCAGGTACATGCAAACAACTCCGCATGGTCTCCTGTCCGGCTGCGTGCTGGGGCATCGGAGATGAAAAGACAGGGTTTTGTTTTGTTTTGCCTCTTGTCGAGGGTGGAGATGCTCAAAACGTTGGGTGTTTCCTGCCCCTCTCCACAAGGACAGTTACTGCAACAATGGCTGTTATTTATTGAGTGTTGACTGAATGACAAGTTATATTATATTCCAGGAACGTAGTCTGCATTACGTCACTCAGTCCATACAATAATAGGGTGCCGATATGGAAATTAAGACCTAGTGAACGATGAAGCTAATTGTTGAAGATAAGCAGTGGATGGTATTAGAACACCCTGCATTCTGCCCTTTTACCTTACACTTACCCATCACTCTGTACTGCTCCCTAGTGGCAAGCTTTTCAGTTTGCAGAAGAGAGAAGAGTGAAAAGAAATTTTTTTTTATTAAAAACACACACATATTTTTATTGATTTCAGAGAGGAAGGGAGAGGGAGACAGAAATAGAAACATCAGTGATGAGAGGGAATTATTGATCAGCTGCCTCCTGCACAACCCACACTGGGATTGAGCCAGCAATCTGGGCATGTGCCCTGATTGGGAATCAAACCAAGACCTCAACCTCTGAGCCACGCTGGTGGGGCCATTGTTTTCCTTTTAAGCATTTCTCCCCAGAGCGTAGGCTCCCTCCACCATTTATCTACATTGGAATCAAGATAGTATTAGACTTAGTATCAGACGTGGTAGTATTTTATGTTGGTACCAGAGGCCCGATGCAGGAAATTCGTGCAAGGGTGGGCCTTCCCTCTGGCTGCCCCCATCTGCCTTGGCCTGGGTCCGTTGCCACCTCCCACTTCCCCCTGGATTGATTGCCCCACTGGCTGGTGGCCTGGGCCTCCTGCAGGGCAATCATGGGGCAATGGCGGGGCTCCCTGACCAATCACATTGCACCTGCCTTGGCTGGCTTGGGCCAGTGCGTGTCATAGCATGGTTGTCCGGAAGGTTGTTCTGCTGTACAGTCATTCAGTCGACTTGCATATTACGCTTTTATTATTATAGATTATCACCTGTACCCCAATTTTCATGAGGGAGAAGGAAACATTTTTTTTTTTTTTGTATACTTCACAGCCATTAGCTACGTACTAGATACATGCAATATAACAATTTATAAATAAAGGAGCTTTCATGTACTCATTCTTATTTAATCCTCACCATGTGGCCTCTGTGTAATTTTTATGGGAGGCTTACCAAACTTAACAGCATTACTTCATCTGTAAAATAGCGATAATTTTGCTAGCATCACAGGGATTTTGTGTTAAACAAAAAATGTTAGGAATGAGAATGGCAAAGTATAGCACAATGCTCAAGGAAAAATCATTTCACTTTATTTGGATCTCTGGATATTCAACAGAACATTATTGCCTGATTATTATAGATACACCCTATTGGATGCTGTGGAAAACAGAAAGGTGATGCTATCAATAGATTTTAAACTCAGTTTAAAAAAAAACTATTTATTTATTTATTTATTTTTTTAAAAAATATATTTTTATTGATTTTTCACAGAGAGGAAGAGAGAGGGATAGAGAGCTAGAAACGTCGATGAGAGAGAATCATCGACCAGCTACCTCTTGCACACCCCCTACTGGGGATGTGCCCGCAACCAAGGTACATGCCCTTGACCGGAATCGAACCCGGGACCTTTCAGTCCGCAGACCGACGCTCTACCACTGAGCCAAACCGGTGCCGGCTTATTTATTTTTTCTTCAAAAGTGTTTTTTTGTTAGCATAAGCACTACCTTGGGTTTCAGACTGGAGTGTTCTCTTGAGCCTTTTGGGTCCTTGTTCTCTCAGTTTAGAATGCCTTTAATCCTCGTTCTTTGCCTGCCCTTCCCAAGTTAACTAAGACATCATCTCCTCCAGGAAGTCCTCCATTTATGTGTTTGTTTTCTCCACAGACTGTGCCTTTCAACTGCAGCTAGAAGTGTTTGTTGAATGAATGACCTATCTATTTAGGATCTGTTTGGACCCTGAGGATAACTCTGAGAATTGGTGAGTTAGAGGGAGATTTAGTAAACTGATTTTAGTATTCAGGAGTGATCACAGGCCTCTCACAATTCTCATGTAGAATTGATCAAATTTAATGACTTATGTATTCTCCCACTAACACTGCTGAATTAAGATGTGGTATTTGAATGTTATTCTGTTAGCTAGAAAATGTCTTTGAATGTAACTGGAGCATGAGATTAAAGTGACTGTTGCCTAGAATTCTTAGGTTTGCTATTTTAAGTTCCTGAAGAGTGTTTTGGAATTACAGAGTTGTGGATCTCGATCTTATAATAAAAACGTGTGTTGAGACAGAATGGAGGGAGCTGGAGAATATTATACTAAACGAAATAAGCCAGTTAGAGAAAGACAAGTATCACTGATTTCACTCCTATGTGGAATCTAATGAACAAAATAAACTGATGAATAAAATAGATCCAGAGACATAAGAGCATGGAACAGACTGTCGAATCTCAGAAGGCTGGGGTGGGTAGGAAGAGGTCAACCGAAGAACTTCTCTGCAAATATGCATATCCCACGGACACGGCCAATAGGATGATGAAGGCCTGGGGTAGGAGGTGTGGGTGGGCTAGAAGGAGTCAATGTGGGGAATAAGGAGACATGTGATACTTTCAACAATAAAGATTTTAAAAAACGAAACAAACAAACAGAAAAATGTATGTTCAGACACCTGGAGACTTAGAAGTGTGTGAATCCAAATGAGTCTTTTGCGTTGCCATTCAGTTTAGTGTGTATGCTTACAAATTGATCTTATATTCCCAGCTGAAATTTATCCCCTACATTTTCCTCTTTTCTGCCATTTTTAACAGCTAATAGTTAACTGGGTCTGGCCCTTAGTGTTGACTCCAGGATGTTGCGACGAAAACCAACCCGCCTAGAGCTGAAGCTTGACGACATTGAAGAGTTTGAAAGCATTCGGAAGGACTTGGAGGTAAGTGTACAACTTTCAAACCCTTAGGAATATTATTTGAAACAATAACTCTGACTTTTGAACTCCAGACTCTCATATCAACAGCTTATTTGTATGCTTTTACAGACATCTCCAATCCAATGTAATAGTTTCCTGTGGCCGCTGTAACAAATTGCCATAAACTTGGTGGTTTAAGACAACAGAAATTTACTTTGTCACAGTTCTGTAGGCCAGAAATCTGAAATCCGTCTCCACCAAAATCAGTGTTTCAGCAAGACGGTGATCTCTCCAGAGGCTCTTCCAGTTTCTGGTGTCATTGGCATTGCTTAACTTGTGGCTGCATCATTCAGATCTCTGATTGTGTGATCTCACTGCCTTCTCCTATTCTGTCTGTGAAATCTTCCTGTGCCCTCTTATACGGACACTTGTGATAGCATTTAGGGCCTACTCAGATAATCCAGGATAATGCCTGCATCTCAAGATCTTAATTTTAATTATACCTACAGAAATTCTTTTTCCATGTAAGACAACATTTATAGATTCCTGGGATTAGGACCTGATAGCTTTAGGGTTTATTAACCCATTATACTTAACATGTTAAAACAAAACAAAAAAAACCCTCTAGTCTTTTTCAAGCTAGTTTCGGTGTTCCGCATCTCAGTACCTATGTATTTGCTCAAGCCAGAACTCTAGGAGTCACTTTTGAGTTCTCCCTTTTCCCCATCCTTTATATACAATTTGTCGGTAAAACCTTTGATTCTACCTCCAGAATATTTCTAGAACCTACCTATACCTTTTTATCTCCACTGTTATAACCCTATTCCAAATAACCATCTCTGTGTATAGTTTCAGTAGCATCCTAAGTGATTTTTCTACTTTTATTTTTTGTCTCTTTAATCCATTCTCCATCAGGTAGTTAGAATGATTTTTAAAAATGTTAAGATCATGTCATTCCCCTGCTTAAAACTCTTTAATAGTTTGCTACACTGAAAATAAAATCTCAATTCTTTATGGCCTATAAGATTTTATTTGTTCTAGCCTCTCTTAGGTTTTGCTTCCTGCCACTTGTTCCTTTGCCCTCTGTACCCCAATTACTGGCTTTCTTACGTTTCCTTGAACATGCAAAACTGTTTATCAGTCATGGCCTTTGCACATGTTATTTCCCTCTGCCCCAGTGTACCCCCTTTCTTCATGTCTCTTTAAATGACACTTCCTCAGTCTGTGAGGCCTCTTCTGACCTTGTCCAACTTAAGTGTGTCCTTCCTAGCTATGCTGGCTCCATCTCATTAGGGTCTCTCAAAGCACGTTATTCTTTGATTTTGTAGCATTTATTATAATTTACAGTGATTTGTTTGTTTGTTGTAAGACTTTGCATTAGGAACCTTGATTATAGAAATCATCTATCTTTTTCACTGTTGTGTTCCCTGGATCTAGTACATAATTGGAACTCAATATTTAAATATGTTTTTCTTGATTTTTAGAGATAGAAGAAAGTAGTGCGATAGAGAGTGAGAAACATCGCTGAGAGAGAAACATTTATAGCCTATTTCCTGCATGTCCATTACTGGGATCAAGCAGCAACTTTGGGCATATGCCCTGCCTGGGAATTGAACCCATACCATTTGGGCTCAGTTTGTATTTTTAAGTGTAGCCTTACCCCATAGTATTAGATGTGCATTAATAAGGCAAATTCTTCAGTAGCCTTCAGAATAAAGGCCAGACTCCTTAGGATGGCATACAGTGCCCTTGCTCATCCCTCTACTTTATCTTTCACTGCTGAGTTATCTTTGACTTTACTCTTGGTGCCTATGTACACTCTGAAGTGCCCTTTACCTTTCTTTGCAGAGCTAACTCATTTAAAACAACAACAACAACAAAAAAAACTTTACTTTTTAAAAAAAAAGTTTATATATCTATTTAATTCAGAGAGAAAGGGAGAGGAAGAGAGAGATAGAAACATCAGTGATGAGAGAGAATCATCAATCGACTGCCTCTGATGATTTCATGCAGTGGTATGATAGTTATGTTGATCGTTGGCCTGTTCTCAGATGCTTCCTCTGACTTTGCCCTTCTTTGATCTGTATCACAAGGGGCTCATCCCCCAGGCTATATCTGTCTTGTTAAGACAGATAACTTGGATTTCTTTTCCCTTTTCCTCATCCCAGAGACTAGTTTCTTCAAGCCATAAAGTGCTAGCATACTGAACTTTGACTCTGCAGCGTCAGCTCACTATTTTTACTAAAGGCAGTATCCAGAGGGTTTTAAATGTTCTATAGCAACTTAGGTGTGAAGGATAGTTTTGCTCTTAACTAAATGAAACCAGAAGGAAATTAATATTTCATTTGTTGTTGAAATCAGTTTGATTACATTTGATGACTCTGGATTCAAAACAGTCAGCAGTTGTTCACGGCGGGAAGCCCTTTAAATTATTTCATTCCATTTGGATAGTCTCAGGCTTAAAATGATAACATCCTTTGCCTTTTAGAACTCTAGTCAAAAAGTTATTTGGGGAGAACTTTCTAATGTTTCTTATTGATAGGGCAGACTAACTAGAGAGTAACTCAGAGAAATCATTATATTTATCTATACAGGGTGGAGCAAAAGTAGGTTTATAGTTGTTCATATGGAAAATAATACAATAATTAATAAATAATATAAGAATAAACTGTGTATCACATACAACTCTAAACCTACTTTTGCTCTGCCCACTGTGTGTGTGTGTGTGTGTGTGTGTGTGTGTGTAGTACCTTATTTGACTATTTAAATATTCATCAGTAAGTGATGAGGTATGGAAGTAATTCCAGTGATTAGACTAGTCGAGCCATTCTTCTAGTAAGGAACTCTAGATAACACATGTTCATTCTCTCAAAGTCATCATTTATTTAAAAATATATATATTTTATTGATTTTTTACAGAGAGGAAGGAAGAAAGAGAGAGAAACTGATGAGAGAGAAACATTGATCAGTTGCCTCCTGTACACCTGCTGGGGATGTGCCCGCAACCAAGGAACATGCCTGTGTTCAGAATCGAACCTGGGACCCTTGAGTTCACAGGCAGACGCTCTATCCCCTGAGTCAAATGGTTAGGGTATCACCATCTATTATATTTAGTTACATAGTGGTACTTATGGGTTCTCTTTTTTAAAATGGTCAAACTGAGACATTGATTTTGTGAATTTTACAGTCACTTATGATTTAAAAGCTAAACCTTTTCTCTGAAAACAAAGTGAAACTCCAAGCCTTTTGATAAGATAGCACAAAACCTATTTCTGTGTTATATATTTTTTTAAAAATATTGATTTCAGAGAGGAAGGGAGAGAGAGAAACATCAATGATGAGAGTGAATCATTGATTGGCTGACTCCTGCACACCCCACACTGGGGAGCTTGCAACCTGGGCATGTGCCCTGACCAAGAATTGATTGGTGATCTCCTGGTTCATAGGTCGATACTCAACCACTGAGCCATGCTGGCCAGGTTTTGTGTTACATTTAATCTCATTATGTCAGTCAAGCTGTTAATTTCTGGTGGTTATTGTTTTAATAATCACTTTATTTTTCCGTCAATTATTTTTCTATCTATATAAAAGCCTAATATGCAAAGTGTCCCCTCTGGAGTTCAACTGACTGGGAGTTTGATTGCTTGCTATGACATGTGCTGACCACCAAAGGGCGATGTGGAATGAAGGAAGGACCAGGGAAGGGAGGCCCAGGTTAGCGGCCACTAGAGACCTTACCCATGCATCAATTTCATGCACTGGGCCTCTAGTCTTGAATAATACACTTATTAAAACACCTCTCTCTCCCCCTTTTCTGACAACTCTTGTTTATCTAATTGCAGCTTCCTGGTCTGAACCTTCACTCCTCATATCTCACCTCTTCTTTATGTCTTTGGCAATGTGGCTTTCCTCTGTGATAGCTTAGATCACCCTATGTTGTAATTGTCTATCTGTTTCCTTAGAGTGTGACCTTCTGGGTATGGGTTGTATCTTTTATCATCATGTGGTAGTCCTCGCTTCTCTGCAGGGGAATATGTTCCAAGACTCCCCCTTCCCTCCCCGGATGCCTGAAACTGGGGATAGTACTGAACCCTATGTATATTATGTTTTTTCCAATACATAAAGACTAATGATAAAGTTTAATTTATAAATTAGGCACGTTTAGAGATTAACAACATACTATAGTAAAAATTATGTGTAGTCTCTCAAAATATCTTATTGTACTTAATGATGATAATGTGAGATGATACAGTGATGAAATGAAGTGAGGTGACTGACAGGTACTGTGACATAGCATTAGACCACTGTAATGGTGATTTGAACACATGCACAGAGATGCTGTAACAGTCATTCTGATAATTGAGGCTGCTTCTAAGTGACTATAATAAATGTGGGTAGCGTATACAGGTTGGAGATGCTAGACAAAGGGATAATTCATGTTCCAGATCAGCATGCAGTTTAAAACTTATGAATTACTGATTTCTGGAATTTCCCATTTAATGTTTTTTGCAACCTTGGTCGATCATGGGTAACTGAAATCTCTGAAAGCAAAACCATAGATAAGGGGAGACTGCTATACCCCTTATGTTCCTAACCATCCAAACCTAGGATTTCAGTTTATTGTTCTATAGATCCTAACCCTCTCCTTTACCCTACATTGGGGGTGCTAAATATTTGCTCATGGGAAGTATGTTGCCTTAATCCTAAAACTTTTATACTTTCAGACTCGTAAGAAACAAAAGGAAGATGTGGATGTTGTAGGAGGCAGTGATGGAGAAGGTGCCATAGGGCTCAACAGTGACCCCAAGAACCGGGAACAGATGATTAATGATCGAATTGGTTATAAGCCCCAAGCCAAGCCCAACAATCGCTCATCTCAGTTTGGAAGTTTTGAATTTTAGAGGTGGATTTTTTTGCTTGCCAGAGCCTTGGAATGGTGTAAAATGATGGCAGAAGTACAGACACAGTTCAGGGAATTGAGTGTTTGTAGTCAAGCAGAATGTTATACCTCCTGCAGACGGAAATACTTTTGCATGAGATTATTGATGCTTAACTTTCACTCAAAGCTGAAATCCAACTCTGGTTTGTCTCTGGAGAATTTGACTCGATAAAACTTGTCTGGTTTTCAATTTTAAAAATAAATATATTTTTGGGAAAGTATGAGACATCTTTAATGAGTATAATAGTATTATTAACACCCAGACTTTAAAAGGTAATAGCTACAGAGGTGATGTCATTATTCCCATCTTTATGATAAAGACCCTGTGCACAGAACACTTCCATTTCATCCTTTTAACTGACTTTCATTTAACTCATTTATTCAGCAAGTATTTATTGAGTGCCCACTATGTGCTAGGTACCATTCTAGGCACTTAATAACATCAGTGAACAAAATCAACAAAGATCCCTACCCTTGTGATTAGATTTTAGTGATTATGTGTACATTTGCTCTCCTATTCTGAACTTTTTCCTCTGGACCCCCCAAACTTCTTGGAAGCTTAGTGGAAACTTTTCCTTTTCTGTAATTAACGTTCACTTAGTAAGTTGAGTTCTCTGCATGCAGTTTTCCTTTGAATCAGGCCTCACACATCCTGAGCATAGGGACAGAGCAGGCATTGAGTATTCCATCCCCTGCGGTTTCACATGAAGCCTGGGTGGTCAGCTGGTGGGGAGGAGGGAAAGGAGAGTTTGACCAAAGCAGACCTCATGAGGGCTTTCCTAACTACTCCTGTCTGTAGAGTTCTGCTTTTCTGCTCATAAGGAGTAAATTTGGTTGCACTTATTTGACCATTTAGCTAGGGATTCAGGGAACCAAGTTGGCTGTGGATTTGTTGATTGAAGCTGAATGATGGGTGCAGAGGGATTCATAACATTTTTTTTTTCTATTTTTGTATGTTTGGAAAATTCTCTAAAAGATTGAAAATCATGGATTGTGAAGTGTCTTGAGCTGAAATTCTAGCACAGTCACTTCCTTGCTGTGTTATCTGGAGCCAATGATTTAAATTTTGTGAGCCTTTGTCTTATCAATATGATGGAGATTATATCTAAAAGGACTACTATGGAATGGAATGAAACAGTGAAATGAGTTTAGCATCATGACTGGATCATAACAAGTGCTGGATAAATAGCAACTACCATTGTTGCTATTATTACTGTTTTATCTTTTTAGTTTTGTGAGATCCTTACAGCAGATACTGTAACTTATTGAGCAGTGTATTCATTCTATCTAGTTAATTTCAAGCTCATATGACTGAGCTCCTTAAAGGTGCCAGGCATTTTCTAGAAACTAGTGATAGAGCAGTGAGTAAAATAGACAAAAAAGAAAATCCCTGCTCTTATGGAGATTATATTTGGATGGGAGTTGACAGAAAATAAACTATATATATATATATATATAATGTGTTGGGACTTTATAAATATTGCTCCTAATTCAAACATATTATTACTGCCTTTTTATAACTGAGAAAACTAAGGCTTAGGGATTATTAAAATAACTTGCTGAAGATTATATTTCTAGAAAGTGGTGGATCCAAACCCAGGTACACTTGACTCCACAAAGTCCATGCTGCTCATATTGTACCATGGAAAAGACTGGAAGTGGTGCTGAATGGCAGAGTAGCTATCCGCGCTCAAGTAGGAAGGGCACATAACACCAAAATTCTCACATTACCAAAGGGTAGGCATGGCCAATGCTCATCTCAAGGCTCAGCAGTGAAGTTCCTAGAGGCCCAATTCAGAGCCTCTTAAAAACCTGACACCATAAATATAGGGAGGAGATTCTGATAGGACAAATTAGCTTTTAAATTTAAGAATTCTTGGTATACTGAGATATTTGCAGCTTCAGGAAGCTCGTCTCCTATGCAAAAGTTCATGTAGCTGCGTCATGGACTAGCTTGTCATTTTGAGTAGAGTAGGAGAATGATAAGAAGAAAAAGGGACCGCCAAAACCGGTTTGGCTCAGTGGATAGAGCCTTGGCCTGTGGACTGAAAAGTCCCAGGTTCGATTCCGGTTGAGGGCATGTACCTTGGTTGCAGGCACATCCCCAGTAGGGGGTATGCAAGAGGCAGCTGATCAATGATTCTCTCTTATCAGTTTCTAACTCTCTTGTCCCTCTCTCTTTCTCACTGTAAAAAATTAATAAAATATATATTAAAAACACACACACAAAAAAAAACAAAACAAAAAAAACAACAACAAAGGGACCATGCCACCTAAAACTGACATCTTAAAAACTGGCGGTAATGGCCAAGACACAGTGTGTACAATGTAGAGACCACATATTTTATATCACTTTGAGGAAAAAATACATGCATAGGATCACAAAATCAAAATATTTATTTTCTTTTGTACACGACACTGTTAAAACATTCCTACTGTAGCAATACTGCTCTCCAGGAGCTTACAATCTAAAACAGTCAACATTAACTGTGGACCCAGTGATTAAGGCATTACATCAAATGCAGACTTTGTATCTTTAGATGTATCTTCTGAAAGAAGCAGCTGGAAAGGGCAGGATAAAAATTAAATGACATGAAAGTGTACCTCCTGCTCCCTCCCCTTCTAGTTCCTAACCCTTTATGGCTAGAACTCAAGACCAGTGCCCCACAGCCTGAAAGGGAATTCCAGACTATTCTACCATAGAGTAGTGAAGAAACCTCAATCTCTACTTCCCTGATGGACACAGAGGGAGTTTGTGGGCATTGAGCTGTGTGTCCAGCATAGACTGGAGAGCACAACTAAGATTCTATAATTGCAGATGGCACCAGGTAGCCCTTTACCTAACTTTATAAAGTTGGACAACTGCTCAAAACATGCTTCAGGTCTCTACCAAGTTTTACAACTTCTGTTTGGTTATCTATATCTATTGCATAGGCAATGTTCTACATCAGGAAGGCAAGGGAGATTTGATAAATAGGAAATATGGGATGAAAGATATTATCTTCTAGTTATGACAGGAAAAGGAAATGGAGAGCAACATAGAAGCCAAGGAAATAGGGATACAGGCTTCTAAAAGATTTGAACAGGGAAGGTGGAAAAGAGTAATCTAGATCCAAAAGGAACAAAGAAGTCAGGCACTAAAATTTCAAATGAACAGGGATATAGAAATGAAAGTCAACAAGATCATTATCACAATCAAGAGCTCAAGAAGGAATTTAAACTTTATTATTATTATATTTCTCCTTCAATAGCTTCTTGCTTTGGCAACCTAGTCTAAGAATTGCTGGAATTCAGGTTTTTCAGGAGACTCTATCTTGACTATCTTAAGACCTATCACAGATTCAAATTCATAGCACTTTATCTTAACTGGCCTTCATTTCTTTTTTACCTTAATTATAAGGCCCTGTTCCTAAAAGGTACTTTATAGCAGCTCATGCCAAGATTTCTAGAGAGCACCAGGGTCACTACTAAACATTCTTATTTTATTTTTAGAAAATTTGTTATTCCTTGGCTTCTGTGACAAAAACAGGCTATTTAAACCTTAATGCTGGACTCTGTCAGTACCAGTCATTCACTCTGCTCATGCTAAGTATCAGCACTACAAGGGGTTGGAATGAGAGAAAAGCACAAAACTCTTAAGTGTTGGTTCTTAGGTTTTAATCTCGATCCAGTAGGCTCATACCCCTCTCTTGGTTCAAAGCCATGGAAGTACACATTCCTCGCTCCACTATTTAACTGTACATACAGAGAAAAGTACAGACTTTACAACCACAACCAACTGGATAGCTGTGTCCTCTCTCTTGCCCTGAGGCACAAGTGGAGTCTAGCACCAAGGAGGGCAGGATTTAACAGACCAGCATAGAAGAGCCACTTTATAGAGGTAGTTTGGACTAGGAACAAAACTGCAGCGTAGACTAACAACTAAAAATCCAATGTGGTTCTTCATGAGAAGAGATTTTGGCCTCCTGTCATCTAATTAAGCCCCCAAGAGTAACAAAGATGGTCATGTAGAGGATGAGGATCTGCCTGGTGTGGGCATGGATATTGGGGGGTAAGGAATATCTGGCTATCAGCAGACCATACCCTAAGCCTTTCCAAAGACTAGACTTTTGGGCTAGACTTTTGTCCTTCTGGCCCATGACTGGCTAACTTGCATTTCAAATCAAAGGTCTTTCTCAACCTTCAAGCTATTAACAAGATCTTTACAAATAAGGACTAGTGATTTCATAATGCTGATAAAGTTTCTCTGGCTATAGCCCTTCCTGCATGTATGCTTGGGCACACATACACACAGAGCTGAATAAATGTTTGTGGAATGATTAAGTATCGACCAGTAGTATTTAGTACATGAGTGAAGCCCAGATATACCACCAGATATACCAATCAGTAATTCAAATAACCATGCTCATTCCACCAGGTTTAAAGCAGAGATTCTCAAAGTATGGTCCCCTGACCATCTGCAGGAGCATCATCTGGGAACTTGTTTTGGCTCTAGATTGAGGCCCAGCAACTAGTGTTTTTAGCAAGCCCTTGAGGTGATTTTAATGCCTGCTAAAGTTTGAAAACCACTGGCTTAGAGGCAGACACATAAAAAATAATGTGAGATAATGATTCAAACTTTTTGCTTCATTCAGTTGTGACAAACCAAGGTACCAAGTCAAAGTAAAATGTCAATGGTTTTATTTTAAAATACGTCTATTTTCTCAACTTGATTGTCATAACTTTTTTTTTTTTTGATTGGCAAGTGCATTCTAATCAAAATGTTAAGTGGGAACACCATAGATGAGTCAGCCACCCCAAAATACACACTTCTGTAAGCTCTAGATTTATAGTCTCAAACCACCTTCTATGCACTACTAAGGTTTTGGTGCAACACATCACACCCAGGGAAAGGCACAACGTATTTCCCTCTCATTGAGTCCAAAGACTAGAACTTATTTTTTAGTGTTAAGTTTGGATTCTGGGTTTTGTTGGGCAAGAATTTTCCTCAGCTGCCATAAATCCTAGCTGAAGTCAATCCTTTTCCACCACTGACCCAGGAAAACCCCATCAAATTCAGATTGTCTGCTAAAACTAAAAACTAAAAAAGAAAGCAGGAGATCAAGACACTGAAGAGACAGCTACCTGGATTAGACAAGAACATGTATCTTGGATCTAAGATAATGATGGAGGAGAAGACATCTCAGGGGTGGTTTCACCTCAAGAGAAACGGGAATCTCAGCGCAGGAAGAACAGTCAGGGGTTACTCAGAGACTGTAAGCTAACCCTCTGTTGAGAAGGTGTGTGTGTAAGGAGTTAAGGAGCAAGAAGGGGAGATTCGAGTAGGAATAATGTCTTCCAGTCTTGAACTGCTTCCCAATGCAATCGATAAGGCCGCACCATGGAGTTTGACGTTAATGGCAATGCTCTGTGATGTCCACTACCACCGCCTTCTTCCAGCTGAAAAGAAAGTACCCTGTGCCGGCCCCTGCTGCTACAGCAATGCAGAGGTACCCATTGTAGGTCATGAAGATGAGCATGAGGAAGTAGCTGATGACCACCTGGATGATATGCAGCACTGTTTGCAGGAGGTGAGGAAAGCTCAGCATCTGCTGCCTGGAGAGTAAAAGAAACAGCAATCAAAGACCCCTGGGAGTGTTGAGCAGCTCTGTACCTCAGGAGAAGGGGGGAGCATTTGTCACGAAAGCTGGAACTGGACTCCCTCATAGCCACCCTGGTGGCTCATAGATACTTTTGTGTATTTTTGTTGTTTATTAATCCCTGGAAATGAAACATAATAGGGCTGTCAGGTTTATAAGCACTAGCTAGTTAGGATGACATGTCAGTCGGAGGAACTCTCTGTGAAAGTTCAGGAGAGGAAGGAGGCCTAATACTCCTGATTTACCTCCACCTTGGATCCTACAGTAGAAGCCTAAATCTTCCCATGCTTATTTGCCTGAATATTTTCAGGCCTTCTACCTTTGCAAAGTTCACATTCTAAAAAAGTGGAAATAGAATTGCGGTGTGGGAGGTACAGAAAGTATTAATTAGGGATCAAGAGACCTGTCTATCCCCTCTATCATTTACTATTTCTGTCACCTTATGTAAGTCACAACCTGTTTGGTCTCTATAAGCTCACCAATACAGTGGATATTAATAATACTGTGTTTATTTGAGAGCAGAATATTGGTCTGTAGGACTGCTTGAACTCCAATTTTTAGTTTTCAGATCTACATTTCTATTAAGATTGAAGCTCAAAAATCATTTGTCAATCTGTGGGGAAAACCAATAGTTATCCCAAATACTTTCTTAGATGGAATACAGACATTTGTATAGTCATAAACAAACTGAGACTAAAGCTGGGTAGTTACAATTTTTTAGAGAAAGGAATCAGATTCTGTCATTCTTCTATACCCTGACCTGAATTTCTTGTTTATTATTATTTACGCAAATAATTTATAATATGGATTCCTTATCTTTTTCCAAAGTGACCAATACTTAAAATTTAGAGCAAATGTTCATGTTTGCAGAAGGGTTCCTATCATTCCTCCTTTGGCCTGCTTATGACCCACAGCCAAAGCCTCCAAAGACAGTTTTGATCAAGGTCATACAGAATCACTAACTCAAGAAGGGGCTGTTGCAAATAAAATTGTTGCTTTGCTACTTAGCTAACCCAGCTCTCCAGAACTTCTATCTGGATCTGTTCAGTCTTCTTACCCAACGGTTTTGTGTGTTTCCATAAGAATGGTACCATTTGGTCCTGGAACAGGCATGGAATTGTAGCGAATGCTGACTTGTGACTTGCGTAGCAGGCCCTCCCGGGCTATCTTGAGTCCTTCATAGAACATTGCTAATAAAAACACTCCCACAAAAGCTCCAGCCATTTCTAAGCAGGGAAAGAAAAGATGGTGGTACTGTCAAACATTGCAAAATCATTAGCTGGCATGCTACACAAGCTAGAAAGACAACATAGAAAAGATGCTACTCTTAATTCTGAATACATTATGCAAAAGGGAATATAATAACTTATTTGTAAGTGCTGACTATTTCTTGAATAGACATTTCAATTCTAAATCTTTCACATACTGGGAAGCATTGGTAATGCTAAGAATGTATTCAAACTTCTGATTTTACACACTACCTGAATTAAATAATCCCCTTCTTCCCAGAACAAATTGATTTTGTGACTCCAAAGATATAACTGCACCTAAAGGAGTTCAACTAACTAGTCAGTTTGTGCAATTTGAACTTAAGGCACACCAACTCAACATTACTGACACAAAGAAGGTGGTGATTAGTTATCCCAAATCTAGGACTGACACTAAAATGGACCATGTCAAGAATCAGAAATGATGTAGAGCAGTTTGGTACACTAGAAAGAACACTGGACTAGGCAGGACTAGAAAATCTGGGTTCCTGTTATAGCTCTGACATACTAAGTCTGTGATTTAGGGCTAAGCATTTTACTATCTGAAGCTTGACTTTTATGTAAAATAGCAGCAATGTAGTAGGTCAATAGCTTTTAACCTTGACTAACTTGGAGTAACTTTGTGTGCATACACACACACACACACACACACACACACACACACACACACACACACACACTGAGTAGCCAGATTATGCGTTCAGAGATCATAGTAACCTGGCCACTCTGTGTATAGTGTGTGCGTGTGTGTGTGTGTGTGTGTGTATGCTTCTTACATAATTTTAATTTGACTACAGAAGATTCTCCGGTTATGTCGGAGATCCATTCCTATGGCATGATGAAAAGCGATTTTCGCTGTAAGTCAGAACCCATGTATATAAGCCCCTAGGTCACTCACATGGGGCACATACACAACAGTAATGAAGTGAAAAAAAATTTAAAAGAAAGATAATAATTTCTGACCTTTACTTGTGGTAAATAAATAATAAAAACAAAAAGCACGTATGTACATATGTCAAAATGATGGAACTTTTTTTTTTTAATAAATAAATGGGAGATGGCAACATAACCACGAAACGTACGTCGAGTCCAATGTAACCCGAAGACTGCCTGTATAGTTTTAAGACCATGACCAATAACTTATCAAACAGGAAACACTGGAAAAGGATGAGAGGGAATGGAGTACAAAAGACTCCTATCTGGTATCTAGATTATTTTTTCAGAAACTCTAAAATATGGAGTGTGTACCCTTACCTAGGAAGCAAGATGGTTAAGGTTCATAACAGTTAATGATTCAGCAAACAATAGAAAGAGATTCCTTATCACTGTTTCTCAAGCGCTTGTCTCCTTCAAACACCACCTGGTGGCTTACTCACCTCCAGCTGTATTGATCACCAAGCCATAAAACAATAGTTCCACATTCTTATAGCCAAAGTAGAAGGTCATGTGCTATCAGAAAACCAAAACAAGTCAAATTAGAGATTCTGAATGAGTAAAGAACCTTAGAATAGTTAAAAATTGTAGATCTAGATAATATTCACTGCAGTGGGAAGTTTTCTCCCTCATTTTAGCATTACTACACAAGCACTCTCCACAAGTACTCCTTTGTCTCCATCACTGACTTTTGTCTTTTTCTCTTTTCTATAATACACTAAACATAAAGACCAGAACTTAATTTAGGAAAGAGTTAATTTTGAAAGAAAGGAATATAGAAGAAAGGACCTGGAAATATTGTTTCTGGTGTGGCTCTGTGATTAACCTGCCACATGATCTTGGCCAAATCACCTGCCTCATCTGGATCTGCCTTCGTTTTTCCTGATAGATAAATTGGCCTTTAAAGAATAATAATTATTATTAAATAATAATCTTGCAGTCCTAAAGTAAAATTATTTCTAATACTACCCAAGTGTGTGGGAAAGGGCCCAGGCTGCCTCTCCCAATGGCACTCACCATCATCATCATGTTGCCGTCTCCCCCTCCGTGGTGGTGGGAGGCCTCAGTGGTCGGGTGATGGTGAGAAGGTGGCATTGTACTGGTGTGGTCCACAGAGTTGGTCATCATATGGTGGGAATGACTCATTTTTCCAGGGAAAGTTGAGAATCAGCAGAAGATTCTAAGGAAAAAGGATAATATATAATACCTTAAGGATATAAAAATCTTGATTCTTGATAAATACTTAGGTCTATGTGGAATTTCATCAATTGAATTAATGCTCTTCTAGCATCTTTACACAGATTTTTATTTTTTATTTTTTTTATTCTTGTAGAGAGCCGCCTGAGAAGGCACATGGACATTCTTTTAATTCTTATCAGCTGAGCCCGAGGGCACTGGCTGAATCCTGTTATCAGTACTGATTTCTTAATCCATATGCTTAGAATGAGGAACAAATAGGACCTTAACTCACCCCAGGTCTTAATATGCTAAATCTTGCACCAAAAAAATAAACCGGTTTGGCTCAGTGGATAGAGCGTCAGCCTGCGGACTGAAAGGTCCCGGGTTCGATTCCGGTCACACATCCCCAGTAGGGGGTGTGCAGGAGGCAGCTGGTCTATGTCTCTCTCTCATCGATGTTTCTTAACTCTCTATCTCTCTCCCTTCCTCTCTGTAAAAAAAAAAAAAAAATCAATAAAATATATAATAAAAAAAATAAAAAAATAAGGAGCTTACCCAGATTTTGATGAATAGGGTCTGGGCACACCCGAAACTCCTTTTGACCTTAAACTCCTCTTTGGAAGCCAATAAATATGCTGTGTTGTCTGTGGTGAATGTGACTGTCTCTCCATCAGAGAGATGGCACCCACCTAGCTCCCAGCTTTATGAATCTATTTCTGCCTCTTGTCTCTTTCTCTAATTTCTTAATCCCCAGCTTCTCCCATCAGGAACCTGTCGTTTATTCCGTGCGGGATGCGGAAAAAAGGAGAAACACCACAATTCTAGAGATAAAGAGAACTAACTGTGCTCATAGAGATCATCTTTGGAAATTGTGGCAGAAGGAATTTGCCCCTTGAGTTTCAGAAACCTAACCCTTATTTTGCAGAATCATTCCTTGAATAGATATGTTCAATGTGTGTTCAAATTTAAATATGAGATAAGAAGAAATGTAGTTTCTTTGGGTTGCAGGAAACGGACAATTTTTGTAATAATGCAATAAAGTAATAATGCACAAATGGATGCCATTAATGAAATTAAACTGCTCTTGGGCTTTCTAATCATGTTGGTAGATAAAAAGCAAGCACTTCAGATAATTCATTTAACTGGATAGCCTGTGCTCAGTCAGGATATTAAGAACACATTTTTACATGTAGGACAGCCAGCCTTCAGCTAATTTAAATTTGAAGAAAAGGTCTACTGCTGCCCCAGGCGAGCAGTGTGCTCAGAATTTAGATACAATTGCAACCCTAGCCAGGCATTAGAATTAAGAACACTGAAACAAGGTATAAATTGGCTACTATATTAAATTAAGTCAAGACAAAGGCATATTCAGCCTTGCATCTTACTATCACATCACTGCTTTACTGCAAAAGTCCATCTGGGAGAAAAACCAAGGAGCAAAAACTCCTGCCACTGAAGTGGGGGTGGGGAGTGGGAAGCTGGAACTTGAGGGTGTTGATGGATTCTTTTTGTGTTTGCAACTCCAGCTGGTGGAGGAAAGAGTGCATTAGAAATTCCAAATAGGCAGTCTCGCTCATGAACCTGAATATGCCTCTCAGTATTTATTCAATCAAGAAATATTTATAAAACTCCTACTATGTGCCAAATTTTAAGCTAAGTGCTAGTAATTTAACAGTGACTAAGACAGACAAGGTACCTGTTAGAGAGAGAAACAAGTAAACAGAACAATTTCATGGTGTGATTAGTGCTATGAAGGAAATAAACAGGATAATATGACAGCATTACTAAGAGGTAGAGAAAAGGCATACTTAAAAAAAAAATCTCTGAAGTTTTTATTGGCCCCCTGCCCTCCAAGGGTTGCCCCACTTCTGCTGCCTTAATGTCTCAGAACTTTGGTGTCATTGACCTCAGACACCACTTTGCCATTCACAATCGTGGGGATGTTGGTCTTTTGGACAGATTGCCTAGTATTGCTGTTACTCTGTTCTTCCAGCAGGCAGTGGTAGCAATCTCAGCCTCCAGCTGGACCTTGATGTTCAGCAGGATCTCAGACTCCTGGGCCTGGTGCTGCTCTCTGCCCGGGTCGGGGACAGCTCTGATCCCATTGAGCTGCTCTGTCTGCATGGCATGACACGTCTCCACCTTCCTCAGCCTGCAGATTCCTCATGGAGTCCAGGGTGTTGGGTTACTCATTTCCTAAAGCAATCAAACATTCCTAACCATTCTCTTTAGAAGAAAAATTCTACTTATAGGAGGTAAACTGGCAGATGGTTAGTGTTTGTTGTTTTCTTTCCATAGCTCTAAGAAGATCCAAGCTTAGCTTTTTTTTCAGAATAAGAATGGGTAGGTACTAAAGAATAAATCAAAGAGTAGCAATACAGCAATATCATTTATTGTCTCAATTTGTAACCTGAAAAAAAATTAATCTAAAGAAAACGGTTTAATTACGAGCTGTGCTGTTTTGTCTAGTTTTTTAAACTCCACAGCCATCTTTAACTATTTGCTCCTCAAGAACTATATATTCTCTAATTTAGCTCCACCCCACTGTCTCTAAGAACTGGGGTCAAGGTTCACAAGGTAGCTCTACTGTATTGTCATGCAATCAAATGTTTTGATTTGTAAAGCATCATAATGAATGGAACTTGTGGAAGAGAAATGATGAGTGGAATGTTAGCAAAGTTTATTTACAGATTCACTGGATTTCTGGTTTTAGGTCAACCTATGTGTATATCTCAATTCCTGGCTTACACTCTTGTTCTTTTTGTTTAATCTTCACTAGAGGATATGTTTAATCTTCACTAGGGGATATGTTTTCTTGATTTTAGAGAGAGAGAAGGAAGAGAAAGAGAGAGAGGGAGGGGAAGGAAGAGCGAGTCAGAGAGAGAAAGAGAGAGAGAGAAGAGAAACATTGATCGGTTGCCTCTCATACATGCCATACATGCAACGTAGGTATGTGCCCTGACTAGGAATCAACCTGGAACCTATTGGTGTACAGGACAACACTACCGCCAACTGCGCGCCAGGGCAACGCTCCTGTTCTTATTTAAAACCTCTACTGTTCATTTTTCTTCTTATCCTTATTCTACTACTTCATCAAATTAAAAAAAAACATTTATAGAATACTAACAAAAGAAATCCTGAATATATAACTCAAGGATAGAACTAAAAAACAAAATTTTAGGATTCCTTACTTTCAATCCATGATAAAATCCATCTATAATATTTTATTTACCAAGTTTTTATAACTAGGTGGAAAGATTAGGAATGCTGCATTTCCATTTCCATTTTTGCTCATTCAGGCAACCTAGTTTTCTCTAGCAAAATCAAAGGGCGGCATTTATTTTATTTTCAGTTGGGTACTTGAACTTGGCTATATGCCAGCTTGTTTCTATGGCCTTTAATACTATTAGATATGGGAAATGGAATGGCACATTTGACTCTGAATGTCACACACCTTTGCATTTCTTTCTGCTTTCCCCTTTCCCCCATTTAATAAGTATGGTAGTATTTATATAAATAGTTTTCAAAACATCCTTGTATTCAAGGGTCTAATTCTTTCTCAGTCTACTTCTGAGGATCATCAAGAAAGAAGTTTCCTTTATTCCTGTTTACTCCTCCCCCAATACAGGCACATTGGAAAGCTTAACTGGAGGGCCAGATTCTTTGTAAAACCTAGCTCCTCTAGCAAGATAAACATGAATTTATGGACAGAAGTTAGGAAATGAACAAGAAGGCTAAATTCTAATGCTTATTCTGAATCTTATCACTCACCTTACTTCTAATAGGTTTAGTTTAAATTTCAAATTCTCTTTTATTTCCCTGGTATTGCACAATGATGGATAAGAAACAATAATCCATAGGGACTATGGAGATTAGACTGCACAGAAAGATTACACAGATGTCATATATCTGCCACAGGGTTCCTCTTCTCCACCTCAAACAGATGTAATCTGGAGCTTCAGACAGTTCCTTTGGAGACTGCCTACAGTCTTTCCTGATGCCCACGATAAGAAAGATAAAGAAAGTTTTTATTCTTAAAACGATTAGGGTCATATTCCTTTTTAGATTTGTAGAAACATTATACAAAGAAATCTATCTAGTTGGGCTTCTGCTTTGTGCGGTCATTATTTATGATTGGTGACATAAACTTTTAGCTCAGATATGGGAAATTCAAGGTCAAAGATAGTAAACTACCATAAACAAGGATTCATGCTTATGGACTATGTTCACATGATCAAGCAATCACTTTAAATGGACTAATCCTGCCTTTTGATGACCTGTGTGGGACCAGTAGATTTCTGAGAAATGGCTCTGGCTTTGTTTCAAGTGCCCTTTACAATTCTCTTGACAGCCTTTTTCATTCCACACTTATGTTGTCCTTTTGGGGAGGGAGGAGGTAAAGGAAATGTAAGACTAAAGGGGAAAACTTTATATAATCCTATATAATAAAATGGTAATATGAAAATCAACCAAATGGCAGAACAACCTGTCGCTATGACGCACACTAACAGCCAGGGGGCAGACACTCAACGCAGGAGCTGCACCCTGTGGTCAGTGTGCTCTCATAGGAGGAGTGCTGCTCAGCCACAAGCTGGGCTGAAGGCGGGCAAGCGGTGGCAGGAGCCTCTCCTGCCTTCCCCCGAGGGCTCTGGACTGCTGAAGAATGCAGGCAGGGCTGAGGAGAACCTCCTCCCCAGTGCACAAATGTCGTGCACCGGGCCTCTAGTACAATAAAAAGGGCTTAGGTATCTCTCCATAACTTGGGATTGTAGGCTAATATACTGGAACTGTTGAGAAAAATCATAGTAACTCCTAGTAAATGGGAGCAGGAAATACAATTTGGTAAGTTTTATCCCTTAGACCCTGGCCTCACATTCCTATTCCAAATTGACTGGTAGAAACGTGACTGGTAGAAATTCTGTGGATATAGTATTATGTAACCTTTTGGCTAGTTTAGCTGCCTTTCC